GATTCTGTTCTTACTTAGCTTCACTGATTTTATCAGATGAGTTCAGCACTGATATCTATACATATAAATAAAATTTAAGTGTCTGTTTGTAATATTGAAATAACCGCTTTTTACTACATGCATTACGAATATAACGGTCCATACATCAAAATAACATTTTTTACAATTTTTATCTGTCTGTCTGTTTGTCCCGGCTAATCTCTGGAACGGCTGGACCGATTTTGACGAGACTTTCACTGATAGGTAGCTGATGATATAAGGAGTAACTTAGGCTACTTTTTTTAGACTAGCTTTGCCCCGCGGCGTCACCCGCGCTACGACAATAACCGCAGATAACATCGCGGGACTCAGCTATCAATAATAAAATGTATTATCTAAGGCGGAGCGCTCTGTTGTTATTGTTGTACGCTTCAAATAAAAAAAAACGAATTATTTGAAAAAGTTGGTTTTAATTACTGTCGCTATGGAAGGCAATATGATAATAACGAATAGAATGACGTCAGCAACTCTACCAGCGGCCGTAAAGTTTCTAAATCTACTTACACAGAATCTCACACTCGAAACAGCGTTTGAACAATTCCTAATTAAGCTCCATAAATTTTGACGAGGGGCTTAACTCGAAAAAGCTCCCCGCATCACGTATTCATTCATTTAAGCGCAGGATATTCGGGTGAAGGTCTGACCCTATTAGAGGTCAAACTTCATGACCTTATTTTCATAGAACCGTACTATTTTAACAATGAACGAGCTCACAAACCACCTGGTGCTAAGCGGTTATTGGAGCACATAGACTTAATCTCAGATTTACTGTACAACGGCTGCCCCGCTTTTTAATTGAAACGCATTACTGCTTCACGGCAGAAATAGGCAGGGTGGTGGTAAAGGGAATGCTTTTCACTGGTGGTAGGACCTCTTGTGAGTCCGCACGGGTAGGTACCACCGCCCTGCCTATTTCTGCCGTGAAGCAGTAATGCGTTTCGGTTTGAAGGGTTGGGGTAGCCGTTGTAACTAAACTTGAGACCTTAGAACTTATATCTCAAGGTGGGTGGCGCATTAACGTTGTAGATGTCTATGGGCTCCAGTAACCACTTAACACCAGGTTGGCTGTGAGCTCATCCACACATCTAAGCAATAAATAAAAAAATAAATTTTTTTTTACCAGAATGTAACTAATAGCTTGTGCCGTTTTAAAATATCTTTGTTATAATCAAAACAGACGTCATATTGACGAACTTGATGCTCGCTCAATGTTTTATTTTTACTAGTGGTCCCCTGGTAGTTCATATTCGAATATAATTAGGGTAAGTCCGGGGTAGATGTCCATATGGGAGAGATGGAAAATCGAAATATTTCAAGGTACCGTTCATTAAATGTCACTGGTTAACGTTTAGTTTTCTGCGCGTCGTGCGTGAGGGCAACGGTGAGACAAAATATTTGACAAAAAAGCAGAAAAAGTAAGTAAATCCTTTGTTTTTTGTTTCGACTATTGTAAATATATATTTGATGTTTTATGTTCTACACAATTGTGGTATCAGTTTCTTTAAATTATGGTGATATTTGTATTTGATGCAAAGTATACAAACAGTGCTACTTTAAAATCTCAAAATTGTTTGTTTCGTGTCATGGCTTGTTTTAGTTTTTGTTGTGGCCGTCTCTCCCGGAAAAAAAGGAGGCCAAGTGCAGTCGGTATATGATGGCCATGGTGCCATGTTACCGAAATGATGCTTTCTGCAATGTATTCATGTACATATTTTCTTATTTGTTTTAGATGCCTAATAATCGTGTTTACGAAATCCTGTGTTAAAACTGCCACGATGTCTAATGTTTCACACCCGAGTACTCCGAAAGAAGCTTCGTTCAGTAAGGATCCAGATTACACCGCCATCTCGAATTCTACAGGATATATCACGTAGTCCACAAAAACTGATTCAAGTGCGTAAATGAGCAAAGAAAGTTGGAACACCTTTGACTTCGAAAAAACACATCTAAACTAGAAAAATGCTGCAAAAAAAACTAATAAAATATGTCAAGACAAAGAAGGAAAAAAAAGACAGTAAAAGGACTGTCCAATGTATAAAAATAAAAGACATTCGAAGACTATCTGAGAATAGTGACGATATTCCATTAAAAATATTGTCGGAAAAGAATGAGAAAACACAAAAAGGACAACTGTCGTGGGTGTGGTGAAAATTACTACTAAATACTTCTCGTCGAAGAGTGGTTTCAAAGTACAGTGTGACAGTATTGAGTTCATGAGCACTACACTGAATTTGAAACGTCGTGCTCCAGATGTGACGAAGAGGAGAAAACAAGACTTAAAAGTAGAAAATGAGACCAAAAAGTAATTATAAGTCTAGAATTAAGCTATGGCCATTTTGCATCTAATACTATGGCCATCACACCCGGATACCTTGAGAGAGATGGCCAATTGTGATTTAAGAAAAACTTCAATTAATAAGGTGATCTCTTTAGAAATTGTTACTTTTTTGTTTAAAATATCATAGTCGATTCATCAAAGCTTAATGACAAATAAATATAATTAAAAAAACATAAGTATTTGATTTTTGACAGAGCTTAGAAAAAACTATGGCCAACTACCCCGGACTTACCCTAATTGAAATTATAGTTTGTATACTATAATGATTCTATTGTCAAAGACTATTATATACTTCTATAGTCACAGACTTCGCCAAGACAACACTTTAGACAAATATTAATAATATTTTTTAATCTATTCTCAATTTGACCACAGATTATAAGCTTTGACAATAAGCAAATAGTATGCATGCGCGTGTGTGTCAAATATATGGTAATGTGTGTAATGTTTTTATTTATTTATTTAATGTATTATTAATGCATAATCTCTTTATATAAAAATAAATTGCTGTTCGTTAGTCTCGCTAAAACACGAGAACGACTGGACCGATTTGGCTAATTTTGATCTTGTTTGTGGAAGTCCAGAGAAGGTTTAAAAGGTGGATAAATATGAAAAGGCTTGGAATTATATAAAAATAAACAATTTTGTTTTTCCTTTGATGTGTCCCCTTGATGTGTCTTTTATTTGTCGATTGAGGCACTACGAAGTCTGTCGGGTCAGCTAGTTTTAAATAAATATCAACATTCTGCATTCCTTCTCTATATTATCTATAAGTGTGGAAAATTTCATACTCCTCCGTCCGCGCAATTTTCGTAAAAAGGGCTCCGGTAACCATTTAATACCAGGTGGGCTGTGAGCTCGTCCACCCATCTAAGCAATAAAAATAAAAAACCCTTCTAAAGCTAACAGGGTAACAATTACTGCTTAATGAGGAGTTAAATTACACATTAGTTCTCATTGAAATAGCCCCATAATATACAATTTATTGTTTACCATATAGATATTTTTTATTGCCCTTGTATTATAGATAGACGAGTATACGGCCCACCTGATGGTGAGTGGTTACCTCGCCGGATCTTCTCAGTGGGTCGCGTTTCCGATCCGGCGGTAGATTCTGCGAAGCACTGCTCTTGCTAGGGTCAGTGTTAGCAACACTCCGGTTTGAGCCCCGTGAGCTCACCTACATGTAGGGCGAAGCTAAAATAGCCTCTCAAGGCTATCAGCATAGGTAGGAAAAAAAAAAGAAAATGCTTTTTTTATATATAAATGTGGGATGGTATGGCGAAATTTAGTGGATATTTAGCTTAACAACAAAATCTTTTAATCTTTCAAAAAATACTACATACACATTTGTAACATCGTTATGTCAAACTTATATCTGTCATTTATATTTTCTTCTTTTAAAATAAAACTAGTGTGCCAGTGTTAATTAACCAAAAAGTATCGATCTTCCCACTTAAATATATTTATTTCATCAAACTCGCGAATTTGTGTGTAGCTGAATTTCAATTTTATTTATGCAAACACTTGGGAGCATAGGAGCTTATACGTTTTGATAGAACCTAAAAAAATAAAGGGTTGATTTAAAATTTACCGCGAACTTCGGTCAGCTAAGTGGGGTCGATGATCTCTCCAGACTCCCACCACAAAAAGGGGGATCAGTATAGGCTCGCGTTAGAAAATTCATAAATAATTTAAGTTAGATGACTTTTTCAAGGCGCGTTTAATAACTCTTTCTGTATATATGTAAAGAAAAACGTTTATATGGTAAAACCTTTAAAAGTTCTTTAGTTTAAAAAAAAAATTGATTTTTCTTTGAAAAATTGACTAACACTAAATAATTCAATAATACTGTTTAAAATAATAATTTAAAAAGGAGTATAAAGGCTTTAATTATTTGTTTTCTTAGTATTCAAACAGCTGAAGAATTTTTTTTTGTTATGATATTTTTTCCAATTATTAAACTTTAAATGGCTCTCATTGGATGGATAGATATCATTCTATATATATAGGGGGGAAAGTCTATTTGGTTTAAACGACATAATTTTTGTAATTTTACAAGAGAGGTAAGTAAAGAATAAAAATTTAGAAAAAATGTCATAACAAAAAAAACTTCTTCAACTATTTGAATGATGTAAACTTAATTGAAGTTCAATTAAAAACATCGGACTGTTGATTGATGTTGATACCAAATAAAACGCACCTTTAATTACAAAGATAATCGTGTATTAAGCAAAACTTCGCTTAAACCAAATAAGTAGCATTTATAATTATATGTGTTTGTAACATACTTATTCAAGTAGTAAATAATTAATATTTTTTTTATTTTAAATTAATAAATTATAAAATTAATTAGTAATTAATCAAGTTGTAATTCACACTAACTTCAAAATGTGCTACTTATAATTTGAGAAATTTTGACTTTAACGTCAATAAAGTATTTGTTATTTTGTTTCAGATAAACAATGAAAGTAGCAAGCAAGCGGAACAACCTTAAGCAACAGATGGCGCTGTAAAACCGAACATGACACCGCTTTTCGTCAACAGGTGGCGTTGTGACAAAAATTTAGTAGTGTTAAGTGATTTCTGAAACTTTTTTTTTGTTTTTTTTTTTTTTCGGTGATTCATTTCATTTTACGTTGTCAAGTGCTTGTGAAATGCGAGAAGGGTCCAAGCCTGGGCCGAGTGGTGCCTCAACGGGGCTTGGTAACGACAATAATGGCTGTAAGTATATTTTCTTATGTTAGGATTCCCCTTTTTACCCTTTAAAATAGTCAGCTATGAGTTATCGCCTCTAACGGAGTTAGTTTTTTTTTTTTTTATTGCTTAGATGTGTGGACGAGCTCACATACCACCAGCTAAGGTCTCAGTATAGTTACAATGGCTGCCCCATCCTTCAAGCCGAAATGCATTACTGCTTCACTGCAGAAATAGGCAGGGCGGTGGTACCTACCCGCGCGTACTCATAAGAGGTCCTATCACCAGTAAAGTAATTACCGATGGCAGGGTTTGAGTTTGCGCAGAAGTCTACCTGAGTTCCAATTATCTAGACGCTCCGAGTACCATGTATACCAGTTGGAGTCGGGCGAGCAATTAGAGAGTCCTATGTTCAGAAATGGACGGCTTTTGATAATGATATATATTATGTAAGTATTCAACCTAGACCAGCCTGACCCAAAGTGGACGATAATGCCCCCTTGTGGGCCCTGTAGGCCTGAAGGGGGCGGTAAGAAACCCAGAAATGGGGGCGTTGTGTAGAGGCTTGAGAGGCGATTTTAATTTCATCTAGGATGACTCTTAGATACCGACTGAGCTCTCGCTATAGTGGTTTTTAAGTAGGTAAGTAGTCGTCGTGGCCTAAAGGATAAGACTTCCGGTGCATTCGTGTTGAGCGATGCACCGGTGTTTGAATTCCAGGCGGGTACCAATTTTTCTAATGAAATACGTACTCAACAAATGCTCACGATTGATTTCCACGGAGAAAGAATAACATCGTGTAATATAAATCAAACCCGCAAAATTATAATATAATTTGTGTAATTACTGGTGGTAGGTTTGAAGGGTGGGGCAGCCGCTGTAACTATACTTGAGACCTTAGAACTTATATCTAAGGTGGGTGGCGCATTTACGTAGATGTATATGGGCTCCAGTAACCACTTAACACCAGGTGGGCTGTGAGGTCGTCCACCTATATAAGCAATAAATAAAAGAAAATATGAAAAAAAAAAATCGCTAAAAATAATTTATTCTCAAAGTGGGCAATAGACAAAATAAGTTTGGGAGCCACTGACCTAGACGATAAATCTTGGTGTTTTTGTTGCAGTATGGAACGAAAGCAGCTTCGAAGAGCTTACGTCTTTAAAAGCTTTGCTACATTTCCCTGAAGAAGTTGCTTTGAGACTGACCGACACGGAATATCAGCTATTTTACCAGGTTAGCCTTATATAATGTTTTCTTTGAATTCGCGAATCATGGACATGGTTCTAATTAGTTTTCTCGCGCCTAGAATGATTATTTATTTATTTTTACTAGTTGTCCCCCGGTAGTCGAAATTCGACTATAATTAATTAAAATTATAAGTTTGTACACTGTTATGATTCTATTGTCAAAAACTATTATGATTCTATAGTCACAGATTTCCCCATGACTACACTTTAGGCAAATATTAATAAAGACAAACAATAATTAATCTATTCTCAATTTGACCACACAGACTATAAGCAATAAGAAAAGTTTGACAATAAGCAAATAGTATGCATGCTGTGTGTCAAATACACGGTAGTGTGTGTAATGTTGTTTTATTGATTTAATGTATTTTCTATGCATAATTTAAAAAAATATTAACATTCTACACTCCTTCTCTATATTCTCTATAAGTGTGGGAAATTTCATGCTCCTCCGTTCGCGCAATTTTCGTAAAAAGGGGTACAAAGTTTTTGCTTCACGTATTTATTTATTTATTTATTTATTTATTTAAATAAGTACTGCCACATCACAAACATCTAACATTGAAAATAAATTTAAACTATTTAATTTATGGCCTGATGCATGTGACAACAATGGCGTACATAGCATTGGCAATTCATCGGCTCGAAAATGGAATAAAATAATAATAATAATAATAATAATTAAAAAAAAACAGTACTATTTGTTGAAATATTAATAAAAATGTCTAAAAATGTCATGTCATATCGAAAAGAAGAAAAGAAGAAATGTTGATATAATGTCAAGTAACAACAAGTCAGTTATAGAACAAGAAATGATCAACGATTAAAGTTAAAGTTAAGGTCCCTTTTCCTCTTTTCCTATTCTGTCCTTAAATACACGCAACTTGTCGTGGAACACATCAAGATCGGGCATCACTGTGATAAGGGAATGATACTCATCAATTATTCTACGGAGAGGTGCCTGCCGTCCCAAATTAGATTTTACAGGTGGGGTGTAGAAAATATATTTGAGTTTCCCGCGAGGATAGGTACGGGGAACCCTTAAAGGCATGTTCTCTAGAAAGTAGCTGCACTGATATTGACCGCTTACGACTTTGTGGAAGAAGGACATGTCCAATAAAAGTCTCCGTTCACGAAGAGAACACATTCGAAACCTAATTAGGCGCTCTTTGTAAGGATTTCTGTGCGAAAAACCGCTAGAATTATAAGCTAAATGCCTAGTGAACGCTCTTTGAATGCTCTCAACGCGTTGCGAATGCACGGCATAATACGGATTCCATACAACGCTGGCGAACTCAAGATGACTGCGCACCAAGGTTTGGTAAAGCAAGATTTTGGTGCGCTGACGCCTAAATCCGCCCGAGTTACGTTTCAAAAATCCGAGCATTTGAGCTGCTTTTGTGACAGACTTGTTAATGTGCGAGGTGAATTTAAGTTGACTGTCAACTATCACGCCAAGATCTCGGATTTCGTTAACTTCTGCCAGTGCTGTACCATCAAGCTTATATTCCGTAGCAAGTTGCTTTCTTTTTCTAGTAAATTTAATGTGAAAGCATTTATTTGCGTTGAGTGTCATACTGTTACAGCGACACCATTGTAGGATCGCATCTAGGTCACTTTGCAATTGGCGACAGTCGACAACAGAAACTATGGTTTTGTATATCTTGAGGTCATCGGCAAATAGTGACACCTTACAGTGACTTACTTTATCGACTATGTCGTTAATAAAGATTATGAAAAGAAGGGGTCCCAAATGTGATCCCTGGGGCACACCGGTATCTGCAAAATAAGTTTTTGAGTTAAATCCATTTACAGACACCGACTGAGGTCTCTGTTGCAAGTAAGACTCGAACCATTTCAAAAGTGGGCCATCCACACCGAACCCATATAATTTCCTCAAAAGAATTGAATGGTTAACTCGATCAAAAGCACTGCTAAAGTCGGTGTAGATGGCGTCAACCTGCCTGCCTGAGTCAACTTCATTAGACACATTGGAAATATAAGGGACCAAGTTAGTGACGATTGAGCGACCACGTCTAAAACCGTGCTGTGAATCCGAGATGCTACTGTCCACAAGCCGAAAGACGTATTAATATATAGTTTAGATAGAATTTTTATTTATCCCGAACCCCAGCGCGTAACATTATAAACCATACTTGAATCGCAATGTGTCATCAATGTCGCTAACTGCGTGGAAGACAAGGGGGACTTTTTTTTATTGCCCTTGTAGGCGGACGAGCGTACTGCCCACCTGATGGTGAGTGGTCGCCCATGGACTTCAGCAATGCCAGGGACAGAGCCTAGCCGCTGCCTACCGCTCTTTTATATTGCTTAGGTGCTTTTCAGAGCTCTCTACCCACTTAGATTTATGTGGAGCCCATAGACATCAACAACGTAAATGCCGCTACTCACCTTGAGACATGAGTTCTAAATCTTGTTTTTTTTTTTAAGTTTAATCAGATAAGACAGCTCACAGTGGCATAGGTATTGGCTGGTTAACTATTTTTTTTAAGCTAAGCTGAGCCGTTACGGGACGTTAATATCTCTGTCATCTGTGGTTTCTGAAAATTTACAAAATCCTTCATTAAAAACAAAATATAGGTAATATGTTACTGCCATCCACAGGAGCAATGAGAAATTAATCGAAGCGAAGCCATCTAGTGGCGGACGCCCGTAAACATGTTTGTTGAATTCTTGAGTTGCTTATCTATAACTAATTTATGTGTATATCTATGACTAAGATAACTTAAATCATAATATAAATAGACATGCTTTAACAAAAACCGACTTCAAATAGAAAAAAAAAGATATTCCAAAACAAATTAATATGCACTAAATACAATAATCATCGAAATCGGTTGGCGTGATATTGAGTTATTGAGTCATTCATCTATTTGTCGCGTACTTAATGCAAATTTAAGACTTATATGGTTTCCTCGTGGATACCATTATCAGAACTGGACTAAATTGTAATGGGATGACACGGGAAGCGGCAGCTTTCTAATAAAAAAAGAGTCATCAAAATCACCCAGTGAAAAGCTATGAGGTAACAAACATAAAAAATATAGTCGAATTGAGATCCTCCTCCTTTTTTGAAGTCGGTTAAAAATCAACATGATTGGCATTCATACATTGAAAGAATTATTTGAATTATCTGAGAATACTTATGCCTCTATTAGTAATAATGCTTTGACTCTCGCAAAATGTGTTCCTATAGAATAATATTTGACGCACGTAAATATCTATATATTAATACGTGAAGCAAAAACTTTATAGCCCTTTTTACGAAAATTGCGCGGACGGAGGAGTACGAAATTTTCCACGCTTATAGAGAATATAGAGAAGGAGTGCACAACGCTAATATCTTTGTTAAATTATGCATAAAAGATACATTAAATCAATAAAGAAAACATTACATACACTACCATGTATTTGACACACACACATATGCTCTTTGTTTATTGTCAAACTTTTGATATTGCTTAAAGTTTATCTTTAATATTACGAGTATTTGTGTGGAGTATTTGTGTATTACAAGTATAGTCTTGGCGAAATCTGTGACTATAGAAATATAATAGTTTTTTGATAATAGAACCATAATAATGTCCAAACTTATAATTTTAATTAATTATAATCGAATTTCGACTACTGCAGGAACACTAGTACATTTAGTTAGATATTAATCAAAGTGAGCTTTCTGATTTAACATTAAATTGCTGCCCTTACAATTTCCTCATTTCTGATTCGATTTGTGGTTTGTTATTTATTTACTCTCCGTATTAGCGGGAAATTTTCATTCAGAATCTATAAAAGTCAAACATACGATTTCGTATATATTTATAATGTTTTAGATGATCCATATAAATAAAATTGGAGTGTCTGTTTGTAATATTGAAATAACCGCTTTTTACTACATGCATATGAATATATTAACGGTACATACACCAAAATAACATTTTTTTACAATTGATGTCTGTCTGTTTGTTCCGGCTAATCTCTAGAACCGCTGGACCGATTTTGACGAGACTTTCACTGATAGGTAGCTGATGATACAAGGCGTAACTTGGGTTACATTTTTTAAACTAGCTTCGCCCCGCGGCGTCACCCGCGGTACCACAATAACCGCGGGTAACATCGCGGGACTCAGCTATCAATAATAAAATGTAATGTTTCCTAGTTCGCTAGTATTAAAAAAAAGGAGAAAACAACGCTAAGCACTAGACTAGATACAAATTAAACTAAAATTTCGATTTTATGTTGAACTTTATTTGGCGCGCGAATCTTGTTGAAATGACGTCAGGTGACAGCTGCATATTCGGGAATTCCGATCGCGTCCGAAGACACCCGAATGAGACTTGATGTGCCAAGATTAGGACAAAATCAGTTCACACGGGGCAGCCGTTGTAACTATACTGAGATCTTAGTACTTATATCTCAAGGTGGGTGGCGCAGATATTGTAGATGTCTATAGGCTTCAGTAACCACTTAACACCAGCTGTGAGCTCGTCCACCCATCTAAGCAATAAAAAAAACATTAATATCTAGGATAGGAAGGTAAACGCATGTCAGATATATTCAAATGCTTTATATTGCGTGCTTTGAAGTAGTTACCTGCGCCAAAGCGCAACAAAACCCCACCCTATAGTAAATTTGCAACTTTATACATTCACCTCTCTCCCCCGACCCGCCCTCTGGTACAGATAAATATAGGAATACCTACGGAATGTAAATTTAAAGGGTTGTTTTCGAATTCACGCCACCTCCCCCCGTTGCGAGGTTAAAAGCTCCCGTTTAAATAAAAAAAACATATTTTGAAATACACTTCAGGTTTTGCTTGGAAATTATTTTCGTTTATAAGTGACGGATTACCATTTCAGCCCTTCAGAGTTAGCCCTACGCGAAGCAAACTTTTTTCCTGTGACCTTTGAAACTGAAACTATAGATTAAGGTATATTTTTGCTATATTGGTCTATATACAGATCTTCCTTCGCTGGTGACATTCCTCAGACTGACTTTCGGTTAGGACTTGTATTTTCAATACAGATTCTTTCTCATAACAGCTACCGTGGCATGCTTGCGTCGTATTAAAGATAACAAAAAAAATCGCCTTATTTACTGACGGTTCAACCGCGAGGAAACTTCAGATTGCAACTGTAACCTTTGGGTAGTGGTTCCAAAAATGGCGCATAGACATCAACCCAGCGAAAAGCACAGCGGTACTATTCCAAAGGGGAACCTCTACACGGATTTCCTCCCTGATTAGGAGGAGAAATCTCCCGATCACCCTATTTGGCCAATCTATACCCTGGGCCAGGAAGGTCAACTACCTGGGAGTAACCCTGAATGCATCCATGACATTCCGCCCGTATATAAAAACAGCCCGCGACAGTGCCGCATTCATTCTCGGCAGACTTTACCCCATGATATGTAAGCGGAGTAAAATGTCCCTTCGGAACAAGGTGACACTTTACAAAACTTGCATAAGGCCCGTCATGACTTACGCGAGTGTGGTGTTCGCTCACGCGGCCCGCACGCACATAGGCACCCTCCAATCCCTACAATCCCACTTTTGCAGGTTAGCCGTCAGAGCTCCGTGGTTCGTGAGGATCCTCGACTTACATGACGACCTGGGCCTCGAATCGATACGAAAACAAATGAAGTCAGCGTCGGAACGTTAATTCGATAAGGCAATGCGGCATGATAATCACCTTATCGTTGCCGCCGCTGATTACTCCCAGAATCCTGATTACGCAAGAGCCAGTCACCGTCGATATCCTAGACACGTCCTTACGGATCTATCAGATCCAATAACTCTTGCATTAGACGCCTTCAGCTCTAACACTAGGAGCAGGCTTAGGAACCCCGGTAACCGTACTCGTCGAACTCGGCAAAGAGGTCGACGTGCAACCTAACCCATGCATCAGCCCGCTGAGTTTGTCGCCGGATCTTCTCAGCGGGTTGCGATTCCGATCCGGCAGTAGATTCATTCGCGAAGCAGCTGCTCTTGAGTTGCTAGGTCTCCTTTGAAGGCGGTCGGGTAGTTGTTAGCAAATCCCACCGTCCTGGCTGAGCCTTTGCTCGCCCACCTGTCCTGGTGAAACTGGAGAGGACCACGAGCCACCAGTAATTCAACATTCATAAAAAAATACAGTTACTTTAACAGGAACCTTTAAATATCGGAAAATGATAAAAAAAAATCTGTAATGAAATCCGTTCGTTATAGAATATTTCTTTATGAGATTCAATTTCTTTATGAAGATTCTATTAATATAGAGATCAGTAATGAATCTTTATATCTGCCTTAGAAGACATAATTAGTACATAGTATATACTTAATGCTTTGGTAATTTCTCAATAAAAAAGGGATTTGGATCAAATTAATGTTATTAGGTGGTTATAAGTCGTCGTGGCCTAACGGATAAGACGTCCGGTTCATTCGTGTTGAAGCGATGCACCGGTGTTCGAATCCCGCAGGCGGGTACCAATTTTTCTAATGAAAACGTACTCAACTAATGTTCACGATTGACTTCCACGGTGAAGGAATAACATCGTGTAATAAAAATGAAACCCGCAAAATTATAATTTGCGTAATTACTGGTGGTAGGACCTCTTGTGAGACCGCGCGGGTGGGTACCACCACCCTGCCTATTTCTGCCGTGAAGCAGTAATGCGTTTCGGTTTGAAGGGTGGGGCAGCCGTTGTAACTATACTTGAGGCCTTAGAACTTGTATCTCAAGGTGGGTGGCGCATTAACGTTGTGGATGTCTATGGGCTCCAGTAACCACTTAACACCAGGTGGGCTGTGAGCTCGTCCACCCATCTAAGCAAAAAAAAAAAAAAAAAAAGGTGGAGTATCTCGACGAAGCCGGATGAGGTTGTATGACTGTGTCTGTAGTAGTGTAGTATAGGACTAGAGGCTAGATGTAGGTCGGATCTGTGTCTGTTTGTGTACGAGAAGAGCTCGGGATCAGTACAGAGCTGCAGAGGACTGTGTCTGTAGTAGTGTACTATAGGACTAGAGGCTAGATGTAGGTCGGATCTGTGTCTGTTTGTGTACGAGAAGAGCTCGGGATCAGTACAGAGCTGCAGAGGACTGTGTCTGTAGTAGTGTAGGACTCAGATCTGTTCAATTCTGCCGCGTTCCTAAACCTTCAATCTCCGTGGGCTCCGTTAACATCGAAGCATCAGATAGCAAATTGGCTATATACCAATATTATAAATTCATAATAAATATTCAATTTCTTTCTTCATAGACTGACGAGAAGTGTATTAAAATGAAAATTTGGTAATCCTCTCTCTCCGCACCTGGTCCTATTTATCAGATTCATCCAGAAAATACAATTTTCCGATAAAACGAGAGAGCTTCGACGAAACAGCACCAAACCAACAGACAATAAATCTTTTTATTTCTTGCGGGAGATAGCGCCGGACGGCTTCATGTAGTTGCGAACCAAGAGAATTGTTATTCGGAAATTATTTCTGAATTCTCTGGTAGGCTGCGAGTACGTATCGTTTTCGCGCCTTTTCAAGAGTTTTCAGGAATATTCTAGAGCATACCATGATCTAAAACATTAGATGGGTGGATGAACTCATGCCGCGCCTGATAAATTAAATAATAGTTTGAAAAAACTAACAAAATACGCTTTTATAGAAAATCCAACTAAAAAATAGAATTTTCTTTTTAATAAATTTGAATTAAGAATAGTGTAAGAAAAAATGATTTTATTGTAAAAAAGCGTAGGGTGCTTTTCAGGATATTATCAAAATAACTACTGATACCATGCACTCCACGGTTTTTCTATTTTTAAGTTGGATTTTCTATAAAAGCGTATTTTGTTAGTTTTTTTAAACTATTATATTATTTATTTTTAATTTTTTAGTTGAATTTCAATTGTTTTTTTTATATTGAATTGTCGTCGGTCCTTAATAAGTGTACCAAATTTCAAGTTAATCCGACGTTTTGAAGGGTGTCAAAATCATGTTCAAAGATTCCGCTACAAACATCATACGTCTGAAGCTAATAAAGGCGTATTAAAAATGGTACCTACCTGCGGATATGGATCCTCGACATTGTCGGTACGAACACACCAGACAATTTGACCGCTCGCGATCCAGTAAAGACCTTCATATTGAAGTTTTAATTTTGATGCTGGCTACCTCTCGCGTTAAGCCGTTTAATAGCCTCGTTTCTTGTAAAGGACAGCGCCCTGCGGTACTTAAAGCTCAAAGGTAGACGAACTTATTACCCGTACGAGCTTTTAAGTTTTTCTTTATAGATGTTGTTAATAAGCAACATGAGCTTACGGCCAGTTACAGTAGCTTACCTGATGTTCCTAAGTCTTCGTTCTCTCCAGCACACCTCAAGGTTGAGGTACTCAGAAGAATCGAACTGATGGTAGGTAATCAGCGTTGTTCATGGACATCAGCAATGCCTGAGGCAAAGTCAAGTCTACTGACATCACACCTCAACCCTTGTTTTAAAAAGGACATGTCACGGTGCTAGGGAATTTCCGTGGAGAGAAGTCCAATCCAGACCCACTCCAGAGGAAATTCACTGTAATCCAGATGAACGCAGCGGTTTTAAGCCATATATTGTGTAGTATTCTAGACAGTAAAGCTCTTCTCTTGTGAGGATATGAGGTTGAAAGAACATGGAGGAATCCTCTCGAAATAATTCTTAGAGCACTCCTCAATAACAATGGTGGTAGGAATTCTAGTGAGTCCACGCGGGAAGGTACCACCAACCTGCCTATTTCTGCCGTGAAGCAGTAATGCGTTTCGGTTTGAAGGGCGGGGCAGCCGTTGTAACTATGAGACCTTATAACTTATATCTCGAAGTGAGTGGCGCATTTACATTGTAGATGTCTATGGGCTCCAATAACCACTTTATATCAAGTGAGCTCGTCACACATCTAAGCAATAAAATTAAATAAAAATAAAGACTTTTTTTATCGCTTAGATGGGTGGATGAGCTCACAGCCAACCTGGTGTTAAGTGGCTACTGGAGCCCATAGACAACTACAAGTTAATGCACCATTCACCTTGAGATATAAGTTATAAGGTCTCAAGTATAGTTACAACCGCTGCCCTACCCTTCCAACCGAAACGCATTACTGCTTCACGGAAGAAATAGGCAGGGCGGTGGTACCTACCCGCGGGGTCTCACAAAAGGTCCTACCACCAGTAGACTCTAAAAAATCAACCGCATTTTTTTTCTTCCAGGTTCCTCCTATAGATTATCTGCGTCAAGTAACCCTAGACCTCGGAGGTGAGGGTCTCGCGGGAACCAGCGAACGGCACATGATCAGAAGAGTTCCTGCAACACATCATCAGCCCACCTCAAGCACAGTCAGCGCTCTGATCCGAAGATTCAACGAGGTATTCACCTACCATACCCTGCGATCCTTTGGTTACTAGTAGACAAACTCATGAAAAATCGATCTACGCGAAATGTGACGAAGCTTGATAAAGTCTACATTAGCTTCTTCTTGTTATTGTTTAGTGGTGGATGAGCTCACAACCCACTTGGCTTCAAGTGACTACCGGAGCCCATAGAAATTTACAACGTAAATACCACCACCCAACTTGAGATATTAGTTCTAAGTCTTAGTTTACAACGGCTGCCCTGCCCTTCAAATCGAAATGTATTACTGCTTTACGGCAGAAATAGGCAGGGTCGTGGTACCTACTCGTGCGGACTCACAAGACGTCCTACCACCAGTAATTACGCAAATTATAATTTTGCGGGTTGGATTTTTATTACACGATGCTATTTATTCCTTCACCGTGGAAGTCAATCGTGAACATTTTTGCTGAGTACGTATTTCATTAGAAAATTGGTACCCGCCTGCTAGATTCGAACACCGGTGCATCGCTCAACACAAATGCAGCGGACCTCTTATCCTTTAGGCCACGACGACTTCAAAAATTCAGCATTACAACAAAAGGCATTCCATATTCTTTCATCAAATTTCGAAAAACTACTCATTACAGACCAAGTGGAAGAAAAGAAGCCAAGGGCGAATAGTCCCATGCGCTGGTCCGATCAAATTAAGACGACATTGGGCTCCAGCATCAATGTCCCTATCTACTGCGTAGCGAACAGTGAAGAATAGAGAAATGTACTTTCTAACTGACGCTTATTGTGCCTTGTCAGATGAAAGCTGGAACTAGAATCTTAATATTGTTACGCCGGTAAGAGTAACGCCATCTATCGCCGAACAACCGAAACGAATATCAAAGGAACTAGTAATATCTAGAATGCTCGAGAAGTACAACGCCATCTATTGTCAGATAGCGGAAACACACATCGCAGCAGCTCGACTTGCCCAGAATGTTCTCGATAAATCTAGGGATGTCGTCTAGACTATAATAGCGTTGCAGAGATGGCACGCAGTCAGTCAGTAATCGGAACTACTCGAAGCGAAACAGCGAACGGATCACCTGAAGCGAACCGGAAGAAATGAATTGAGAATTTTAAAGTGTTCGTTAAGTGTTTAAGTGCTTTAAGTGTTAATACAGTTTTAAGTTGTACTTTAGTAGGATTAGTTGAATCGCAATATCATGTCATCAATGTCGCTATTAATTACGCGGAGGACAGGAGGGAACGGAGGAACATAGTCCAAACAAAAGTGATCCGTAAAGGTCACGACCCTAACCACTGAGAAACACGATCCAAGGAGGGTATTCGTTAAGCATAAAAAGATAATAATGATAATTGCGAAATTTTTATTGGCTCATAACGCCTTTTTGTACCTTATCCCAAAATTCGTTGCAAACTCCCTGCATAACGACCGCTGACCGCGATAAGAATTCAGCCCGAATAAAATCCCTGAAGATCTGACCCCACCGTGTTTCCCGGAAAGTCGAACCTAGCTATTAACTGACAATTAGAGAAAATTAGCAAAGTTCTCCCCGTGTATACCGGCAAAGGAGCTTTCGGCCATTGTAACGTTGCGAGCCAAACGTGACAGAATTAAGGGCAAGCTCTAGAGACGGGCTGGTATCGATGCTTTCTTCGCCCTCATAGATACGCCTCACTGCTTTTTTGTGGTGGAAGTTTTAGTTCCCTATCGACACGTATTGAGGCTCAGTGTTTTCGGAACGAAGTTCCTTATGGGACGATGCGGAAGGATACCCCAACCGTGAAAAAACGTCCGTAACGTAAGATTTTCATTAGTAATGCACACAGTGTACGACTTAACTTTGTGATAACGTACAAAAAATAATATTTTTTTTAACGTCCATTGACCACGATCTCAGAGCGTTCGTTTGCGCAATACACTAACTCTTATACTAACAACCGTGAATGAAGTGTACCACAATAAGTTCGCACGTTTCCAATTAATTTATACCTCGAATAGAACTTAAAATTAATATTTGTACAATAAGGAACTTCGTTCCTATAAGGTGTCCCACGACTCCACACGTCTTTTATAATTAACCTTATAGGCAGACCAGCATACCGCCTAATGTTGAGGTGTTACAGTTACTCTTGGGTGTCAGCAATGCCAGGAGCAAAGCCAATTCGCTGCCTAACGTTGAATACTCACCGTAAGCCTCGTTTGAAGATGTACCGGTGATAGCGCGCGGGAAACATCTTGGCAGCTCATTCCAGAACCGGATGATACGTGTCACAAAAGATCTCTGGACCCGCGCGGGTATGTACCAACGCCCTGCCTATTTCTGCCGTGAAGCAGTAACGCGTTTCGGTTTGAAGGGCGGGGAAGCCGTAACTATACTTGAGACGTTAGAACTTATATCGCAAGGTGGGTGGCGCATTTACGTCGTAGATGTCTATGGGCTCCAGTAACCACTTCAAGCCAGGTGGACTGTGAGCTCGTCCGCCTATCTGAGTATAAAAAAAATTTAAAAAAAGAACGAGGTGGGAGGTGTCATGGCAAAAACGATATGGAGGGATCATTCTGAGCAATTCCTCGCATAGTATTTGGTCGTATACTGCAGACTTGAATTTACACATGTTGGTTCAATTTCGATGAGGTTTTTATGGTGAGCTAACACCCGAGTCGACGTTAAGGGTCAGCTGTCTAAATCTGACACACATAGACATAGCTATTCGACATACATCCACATCTTCAGCTGTTACAGCAGCAACATAATTTTGGATACGCAGTTATTGTGATGGTTTTAAGTATTCTATATTTTTTTCTATAGCTTAGATTGATGGATGAGCTCACAGCCCACCTGGTGTTAAGTGGTTACTGGAACCCATAGACATCTACAACGTAAATGGCGCCACCCACCTTGAGATATGAGTTCTAAGATCTCAGTATAGTTACAACGGCTGCCCCGCCCTTTAAACCGAAACGCGTTACTGCTTCACGGCAGAAATAGGCAGGGCGTTGGTACCTACCCGTGCGGACTCTCAACACGTACATCAAAAACATTCCTTAAACATTCGTTATGATAATCTAATTTCGCAAACGAATTAGGTAACTTGATTATGTAGTATCTAGCTAACCGACACTCGCCTCGGGCCAAAGACGTGACAAGATGTGTTATGTGTTTATCAGTGAACATTATAATTCGATTTAATCTAGAATTTTCTCCAATATTATGCTGGGTACTCACCTAGCCGTGTAGCACGTAACGTAACAGATACTGTATCCAGTGAGTACGTAGGCACGAGCCCGCTGCGAGCCGCTCACGGAAGGAGCGCAGCAAGTTCGCAGTGACCCGCCGAGTGGCACAACACAAAGACGGCTCGCAGTGTGCTCGTGGCAGCTCGTAGCTAGATACGCTGTGGACCGTGGACAAGCCGTACCCACTTGCAGGTTGATACAGTATATGTTACGTTACATGCTACACAGCTAGGTGAGTACCCAGCTTTACACGGATAAAGGTAACGCACTAACGCTCTGAGAAATTGGTATACCACGCTTAGATAAATAAATAAATAGGAACAAATCACGCACAAAATTATACTATACATAATCTCTAAATTAATACGTGAAGCAAAAACTTTGTGCCCCTTTTTACGAAAAATGCGCGGACGGAGGAATATGAAATTTCTCACACTTATAGAGAATATAGAGAAGGAGTGCACACCCTGGTACAGAAGGGTAAGAAGCGTGCCGCGGAGTCTCGAGCTCCCGCGGCCGCTAAAATTAGCAAAGCCGTGAACGCGTCGCGCCCCCGCCCTCAGACTCCCGTTGCGCCCCCAGCCCGTGCCACTCCGTCGCCGCGTCCGGTGGCACAAAATAAAACCCAGACCCCTCCCCCGGTTATCCTTCAGGAGAAGGCAGCTTGGGATCNAATGAGAGAAACGCGCGATCAGTACGAGGCTTTGTGGCGGACTGCCGGCGCAGCAGCCCGGCGCGCATTTCGTGTGACATGCGCAATCAGGCGCATAACGCATTTCGTGTGACATGCTAGTACGATTTTGGTCCCCATAATTTTCATACCCCGGGCCTATATATGTAAATCGATTCTAAAGGAGTAAACTCCAAAAACCTTTTGTTATTGCATAAAGTCTGTGGTCAAATTGAGAATAGATAATAATATTCTTTGTCTTTAACATTATTTGTCTATAGTCCACACTATAGAACTTGGCGAAATCTAGAATCTAGAATGTCTAATGTCTGTACATAGAAGTTTGTTAGTCTTCGACAATCGAACCATAATAATGTTCTAACTTATAATTTAGCTATATACAAATACACACCTATTTTTCCAACAATTTTAACTCAAACATTTATCGACTCTACCACATCCCTATAATGAACACCACTATCGAACTATAGCGCCCGAATAATTATTGACTTTATCTCTGTCTTCTTCAGTCATTAGATCGCGTATTATTCAGCGAAAAAGCTCTCGTTAGCTTTCAAAGCTTGCGTAACAACGATGTCATCGTAAGCTTCTTTCATTCGGGTACTAAATGCTTTGTAACATATTTTCCTGGATTATATAACACTAGTTTTTGTACGCGACGTCGCTTTCGTTAAATTATATTATTATATCCTTTTATTTCCGAATGTAAATTCCTTAATAGCCTTATTCTTTCCTTACGTGTTTGTAAATATCTTGATATTCCATCTTTTTTTATATGAGGTAATCAAAATCAAACCGGCCAAGCTGTAATTACTATGCAATTGCAACATAGACCTCAAGGCAAGGTAGCGGCGTTGATGTTGTTGATGTCTATGGGCCCCGAAAACCACTTAAAGTTAGGTGGGCCGTGAGCTCGTTACATCTAAACAACTTTTATAAGTCGTCGCGGCCTAAAGGATAAGACGTCCGGTGCATTCGTATGTAGCGATGCACCGGTGTTCGAATCCCACAGGCGAGTTCCGATTTGTCTATTGAAATACGTATTTAACAAATGTTCACGATTGACTTCCACGGTGAAGAAATAACATCGTGTAATAAAAATCAAACCCGAAAAATCATAATTAGCGTAATTACTGGTGGTAGGACGTCTCGTGAGTCCGCGCGGGTAGGTACCACCACCCTGCCTCTTTCTGCCGTGAAGCAGTAAAGAGTTTCGGTTTGGAGGGTGGGGCAGCCGTTGTAACTATACTGAGATCTTAGAAGTCATATCTTAAGGTGGGGGGCGGCATTTACCTTGTAGATGTCTATGGGCTCCGATAACCACTTAACACCAGGTGGGCTGTGAGCTCGTCCACCTATCTAAGCAATAAAAAAAAGAAATACTGGTATGTCTTCATTGCGACGCCAGATAAGCTTGAAGATTTAAGAGAGAGTATTCTTTATTGTACACAAAAAACAAATAAACAGTGCGATACATTAAACACAAAAAAGTACATTTTTGTTTATTGGTTTTTTTTATTGCTTTGATGGATGGACGAGCTCACAGCCCACCTGGTGTTAAGTGGTTACTGGAGCCCATAGACATCTACAACGTAAATGCGCCACACACCTCGAGATATAAGTTCTAAGGTCTCAGTATAGTTACAACGGCTGCCTCACCCTTCAAATTACTGCTTCATCATTGCTTCACGACAGAATTAGGCAGGGTTGTGGTACCTACCCGTGCGGACTCACAACTGGTCCTACCACTAGTAATTACGCAAATTATAATTTTGCGGGTTTCATTTTTATTACACGATGTTATTCCTTCACCGTGGAAGTCAATCGTGAACATTTGTTGAGTACGTATTTCATTAGAAAAATTGGTACCCGCCTGCGGGATTCGAACACCGGTGCATCGCTACATACGAATGCACCGGACGTCTTATCCTTTAGACCACAACGAATTGACGGTCTTATCGCTAAGAGCAATCTCTTCCAGACAACCATCAGGTGGACAAGAATCATTTGGAAACGAACTACGCGCGGTGTACCAATCCAGTGAAATACATATACATATAATATGTACACACACATATACACATACATACATATATCCGTTAAGGTGGCCGTTTTTGCTTCAGGTATCAGCGTGGGTGACGGAGCTTGTCTTGGCTAGCGGGTCACAGGAGGACCGGAAAGCGGCTCTCGCCTGCGTTCTCCGGGTAGCCCTGACCTGCTGGAACATCGGGAATTTCAACAGCGCCATGGAAATCGTCGCGGGACTGAAGTAAGTCCTAATTTAAATTGTCTGTCGTGATTATTTCAAAAACTGAAACGATTTTTTTTTATTGTCAACATGGATGGTCGAGTTGACGGCCCACTTGATGTTAAGCGGTAACCAGATCAGGAATATTAACGCAGTACTATGCCTTGAAGTCTATTTTTCAATTGCATGGTAATTACGCAAATATTACAGTCTCATCCGTTGATATTAATACGCTTTTATTAGTTTCAGACGTACGTATGTATGTAACGGAATCTTTGAATATGATTTTGAGCCCCTTCAAAACGTCGGATTAACTCGAAATTTGGTATACTTATTAAGGATAGATGACAATTCAATATTAAAAGAAATTGAAAAAAAAATTTAAATTCAACTAAAAAATAGAAAATAAATTTTAATAAATTTGAATTAAAAATATTCTAAGCAAAAATGATTTTATTGTAAAAAAAAGCGTGGGGTGCATGGTATTAGTAGTTATAAATATTTTATGAACAGATAATATGAGTTATTTTGATAATGTTGTTTTGATAATATCCTGAAAAGCACCCGACGCTTTTTTTTCAATAAAATCATTTTTTCTTACAACATTTTTAATTCAAATTGATCAAAATTTATTTTCTATTTTATAATAGGATTTTCTATAAAAGCGTACTTTGTTAGTTTTTCTAAACTATTATTTATTTTCATTATTGTAAGCACACCGTGTATTACGTTATTAAAAAAAAAGTTGAAACATTAAAATATTTGCGACTACTTTGTAAAGAGTACAGGTAAGAACATAAGCGGTATATATTTAAATAATTAAATTAATATTATATTCGTAAAAGTAAATTCCGCCACCTTGATATATGAGTTCTAAGGTCTCAAGTATAGTTACAAAGGCTGCCCCGCTCTTCAAACCGAAGCGCATTACTACTTAGAAATAGGCAGGGCGGTGGTACCTACCTGTGCGGACTCACAAGACGTCCTACCACCAGTAAGACCCAACATTGGGATACTAGGAAAGAGTTCATAGCAGAGTTAGGACGTGAGAGGGATCTTTGGATGTGCACTGTAGATTATCGCCTAGACTTGTTCACGTAAAGAAATCTGCACCATGCAGATTAATATTCCACAATACAATTTTCTTTTTTCCCTCCCTACGCTGAGAGCCTTGAGAGGCTATTTCAGCTTCGCCCTAACATGTAGGTGAGCTCACGGAGCTCAAACCGGGAATGTTGCTAACACTGGCCCTAGCAAGAGCAGTGCTTCGCAGAATCTACCACAGAATCTACCACAGAAAATAATGATTAGTGACATGTTTAAAGAGCGTAGTTCCTCAGAGAACTTAATATCTTTATCCTGTGAGATTTGATTATTAATATTGTAGCATTTGTCAACACGAGGGCACCGGACGTCTTATCCTTGAGGCCTTGAAGAGCTCAAGCTCTGCTATGAGTTCTCCACCACGATACTCAGCATTATAACACATTACTGTTCTATAGACAGACTATCCACCAAAATCGCCAGTGAACATAAGTCGTGGTAGCAATACACGTTTGAAGAGGAAAACTTGAAGCATAATCTCCTGCTTGAAATGCGAAAAGAACTGAAAAGAAGATAAAATAATAGAAAACGAATAGAGAAGAGAAGACAGTACGGTTAGCAGGGGTTTCTTTCGGCCTTCAGATGCGTCATATCCTGTAGGCCGGCGGAAACTACTTGCCGACTCTACTTTTTACAACAGAAGACGACAGTTGAGAAGATTTACAACGCGTCTCTCAGAAGACTAATATAGCTTATATTATTATTTTATTACCAATTTAATATAGAAGTCATCGTGGCCTAAAGAATAAGACGTCCGGTGTATTCGTATCTAGCGATGCACAAATCTCGCAGGCGGGTACCAATTTTTCTAACAAAATACGTACTTAGCAAATGTTCACGATTGACTTCCACGGTGAAGGAATAACATCGCGTAATAAAAATCAAACCCGCAAAATTATAATTTGTGTAATTACTGGTGGTAGGATGTCTTGCGAGTGCTACGGGTAGGTACCACCACCCCGCCTATTTCAGCCGTGAAGCAGTAATGCGTTTCGGTTTGAAGGGCGAGGCAGCCGTTGTAGCTATACTGAGACCTTAGAACTTATATCTCAAAGGTGGTAGCATTTACGTTGTAGATGTCTAGGGGCTCCGATAACCATTTAACACCAGGTCATCGACTTATCAATGCAATAAAAAAAAAAACAAAAAAAAAGATGTTATTAATCCATACTAGTATTATAAATGTAAAAAGTTAGTTCTATTTGTTTGTTTGTCATTGTTTCACCTCGAAACAAAGCAACGAGTTAGCGGAATTAAATTATTGGGTCCGCCAGCTAAGTCTACCTTTAATCCTGAATAAACATGTCACTCTCACGGGAAACTGCGCTGAGATTTTCTCTAGACCACGGGCAGAGTCGCAACTAACAGCTAGGCGATCTATAAAGAAAAGAAAAAACAATGTTTTTATGTATGCACTAGAAGCGTTTCGTTCTTTACTGGTGGTAGGACCTCTTGTGAGTCCGCACGGGTAGGTACCACCGCCCGGCCTAATTCTGCCGTGAAGCAGTAATGCGTTTTGATTTGAAGGGCGGGGCAGCCTTTGTGACTATACTGAGACCTTAGAACTTATATCTCAAGATGAGTGGCGCATTTACATTGTTCATGTCTATGGGCTCCACTTAACACCAGATGGGATGTGAGCTCGTCCACCCATCTAAGCAAAAGATGAGGCAGCCGTTGTAACTACGAGTATACTTGAGATCTTAGAACTTATATCTCAAGATGAGTGGCGCATTTACGTTTTAGATGTATATGGGCTCCACTGAACACCTGATGGGCTGTGAGCCCGTCCATCCATCTAAGCAATAAAAAAAGCACGAATAAAAAGCTCTCGTTTCTTCATACGGAGCCCGTAAACTTTAAGCGCTGTATAAAGCCAGTGGCAAAGGTCGCTTATGAGGTCATAAACAAGGATACCTGTACGCGGAAAGCTTAATGAAAAGCTTAGATCCGCTACGCAAGGCATTGCAAAGTACAGATATAGGTTAATTTACTGAATCTAAACGAGCATTCGGCTTATCTGGTCGTGACTAGACAGTGATGCTCGTGGACATCAGCAAATTCAAGCGACGCTAAGAACTATTCGCAAGTTTCGTTTGAAGGAAGACTCAGCGCTCAGGAAACACTGAATAATTCGTTAAAAACTTAGCTTTTTAGTGCCCTTGTAGGCAGTCGAGCATACGGCCCACCTGATGGTGAGTGGTTACCGTCGCCCATGGACTTCAGCAATGTCAGCAAGCCACTCCCTACCGTTGAATACTCTCCACAAGCCTCGTTTGAAGAAGCACATGTCATAGCGCTCGGGAAACACCGTAGAGGGGAGCTCATTCCAAAGCCGGATGATACGTGGCAGAAAAGACCTCTGGAAACGCACTGTGGATAAACGGAGTGGCTCCAGTCAGTATGGATGAACTCTACTCCGGTGGCGGGCGGTACGATAGTAAAAGCGAAATGATGGAATCATCTCAAATAATTCCTCAGCTTTAGCTTTTATACAAGTAGTGCACGCCAAAATAGATTCAACTACACTTAGAACACAGACTGTTTTAGTTTCCATTTTTTTATGTATATCTAACAGTAAGCGAGAGAGACCGTTTGAAAAGGGCTCGCGCCGAAACTAACACAGCAGTCTCACTACGAACCATAAGCTACGCTAGAATTTCGCGGGATATTTCTCGACATCAGAGATAGTAAGGATCAAGCGTGACCTGTCACAAATTACTTTCTCGTTCTATTTGGTTTAGTGAAGCGGTATTTTCTTTAGTTATCGCGAGAAAAACTATAAAATATTTAAAAACGTGTGACAGAAGTGATAACTTAAACTAATCTAAGATGAACTATTTAATATTAAAATCGTTTAACTTCAGAAAAGCTTAGTTTATTGCTTAATTTTTTTGTATATTTATATGAAAATGTAAGTAAGAAGTCGTCGTGGCCTAACGGATAAGGCGTCCGGTGCATTTGTGTGTAGCGATGCACCGGTGTTCGAATCTCGCAGGCGATTACTAATTTTTGTAATGAAATACGTAGTTAACAATTGTTCATAATTGACTTCCACGGTGAAGGAATAACATCGTGTAGTAAAAATCAAACCCGCAAAGTTATAATTTGCATAACTACTGGTGGTAGGATCTCTTATGAGTCCGTACGGGTAGGTACCTCACCCTGTCTATTTCTGTCGTGAAGTAGTACCTTAGAACTTATATCTCAAGGTGGGTGGCGGCATTCATGTTGTAGATGTCTATGGGCTCCAGTAACCACTGAACACTAGGTGGGCTATGAGCTCGTCCACCCATCTAAGCAACAAAAAAAGATAAAAAAAATGTAATATAAATTAAAAAAGAAATATATAAATAGTTAGGAGTTACATACGTTCTTATCAAATCAAATCAAATCAAATCAAAAAATTTTTATTCAACATAAATGATAGTACATACTTGTTGAACGTCAAAAGAACTACCGCCAATTCACAAGAACTAGCCTCCGTCCTGAGAAGAATTGGCAAGAAANAGCGAGCTGATTCATGGGTTAGGTTGCACGGCGAACTCTTTGTCGAGTTCGACGAGTACGGTTACCGAGGTCCCTAAGCCTGCTCCTAGTGTTAGAGCTGAAGGCGTCTAATGCAAAGGTTATTGGATCTGATGGATCCGTAAGGACGTGTCTAGGGCGTCGACGGTGACTGGCTCCTGCATGATCAGGATTCGGGGAGTGATCAGAATTCGGGGAGTAAGGATCAAGCGTGACCTGACACCAATTACTTTCTGGTTTTATTTGGTTTACTGATGCCGTATTTTCTTTATTTATTGCGAGAAAAACTATAAAGTATTTAAAAACGTGTGACAGAAGTGATAACTTAAACTAATCTAAGTTGAACTATTTAATATTAAAATCGTTTAACTTCAGAGAAGCTTAGTTCA